CTACCTCCCAGGTGAGTGCATTAATCACTAGCCTATAGAGCTATTCTCACTGGCTCAATGAATATTTATACACAATGGAATAGCTTCAACAAGACAGGCAGAGTGAAACACCCCAAAATAGCCTATAGTCTGGGGGTTAGGATTCTCACTTGAGAAAGGGCAATATCTAGCAGGGATTCCAACCTAAGTCTATCACATCCCAAGCAAGTGTCGGCCTACAGTTTTAAAGCGACATGGATGGATGGATCAACACACTTTCCCTTTCTTACTTTGTTTATGCTGAAAAAAAAGTTTTCTGTCAGTTTCAGAATCTTATGAATATATTTTGATTTTTCGGTATGCTGGACAAGCCAAAATATCAGTTATTTGACCACCTCTAAAGGTGACCCAATCTGATAGATGATGCCAACCTACAATACACCAAAGGCACCGCATAATGCGCCGTGTGAAGCTTGGATGATCTAAACATGCTGGAGGCTTCCTTAATGCTAATCTATGAATTCAACAAATCAGCCTTACAAACTCTTCATGTCTTTGGAGACAATGTTTTTTCCCCGTCAACCTAAGGTTATCAGAAGCCATGGTTCCGCAAACTGAGGCACCAGCTCTGGGTCTTGGCTGGTAATCTGCCATCCCAAAATTGAGACAAAGCATGAGCAATCCCATTATTTACATCAGAAACATGCACTACACAGAAAATATATTGCCAATACAAATTAGGTATGTAAAAAGTCGGTTAAAAACTACTGAAAATCTTAGTGGTTACACACATTGCGGGCTCTGCAGTATAAATAAGCTTTATATTGCACAGTCTGCAGTGAAGCCTCCCCAGGAGCAGGATTTCTGATTTCTAAACCTTTACCTTCACAAACTTTGACAAAAGGGTGCCATGGGATTGATCTGTTCCTACTATTGGTGTCCTGGCATCCCAATTTTCAAAGGCACCAACATTCCCTACAGTTTTCTCTTTTTGGGGGAGTGGTAGAACTGATAAGAGTGTGGGAGAGTTGGGTCAATGGCAGCCTCTTTTGACCTCTAGTTTCTTTTGTGTGTTCTCAGATTCTCTAGCACTGAAAGGGATCAAAGATAGCAACATCAGACACCTTATCAGCTTGCTGAACTTGTCTTACCTGGCCAATATACACCAGGATCTTCTTGTAAGCACAGGGCTGGGGGACTGGCAAATGGAAGCTTCCTTGAAGGCTTCCAGGGGTCTCCTTTAGGAGCTACAGAGCCCACCATCCCCACCTCAGCTGCTCTCTTACAGAACCACCAAGCAACTGCTGAGAACTTCCTATAAGCCCTTATTCTCTCATTGACATGACTGACAGGGCTGGACCCTACAACCTTTCTACACCTTCATCACAGGTGTGGGTATTATTTATCTTTTATTCTAGCCTTAACAGAACCTAAAGGTGACAGTTAAACTCATCACATTGGTTCCTGAGGGATTAGTCACTCTCTGGGGTATGTCTACACTACAGTGTTATTTCGAAATAGCTTATTTTGAAATAACACATCTAGACACAAAATGCATTTCGAAATAGCACGTCCACACTGATAGGATGCTGAATCGCATTTAAGGCTGGCCGGAACTGGTTCTGGCAGGGCATCAGGTCAGGAGTTAGCCACCGGCAGCAGCCACGCAAGGCATCTGAGACCTGTGCTTAAAGGGCCCCCTCCGGACAACCGGTTCTAAGGTTTCCCTGCTTGCTTGACTATCTCGCTGAGGGACAGCAAAGAATTTTTTTCTCTGTGTGCTCTGGTTGCCCTCACTAAGACACCACAGCACTCTGCAGCATGGAGCTGGAGCTGCTCCTGGGCACTCTGGTGCTTCTCCTGGACGTGTTGCTGCGAGCTTGGCAGCATCTTCTGCAGCAGTAGCAGTCTCCCTGGTGTGCCCCACTGGAGGCTCGTGCCTCATTCCTCCCTCAAGTCCTTCTACTTACCCCTCCCTAAGCCCCCTTCCTGCTGTACAATAAAAGACACGTGTTCATTACAACAAAGCCTCTTTATTGAACAAAACTGGGGTGGGGTGGGGGAATGAAACTGAAGTGAAACTGGGGAAAGAAGGTGGGAAAGGGGAGAAGGGAGGGTGGGAGAAGGGAGGGGGAAATCTGGGAGGAGGGAGCTGGCAGGGGGAGGCAAGGGGAGGAAGGGGGAGAAGCTCAGGGCTCAGGTGTGGGGGTCTCGCAGGCCCAACTCTCTCCCAGCACTGTGGGTGTGGGAGCCTCGGTGTCCCTGAGGGCATGGGTAGGGTAGAGGAAGAAGTGGGAGGCGGAAAAGGAGTAGGAGGAGGAGCAGTAGCTGGGGAGGCAGCAGGGGCTGGAGCAGAAGCAGGCAGCAAGCTCTGCCCCAGGGGCAATGACCACCTGGGGGGCACGGACCATCCTGCCCCCCAGAATGCAGTCCACAGCATCAAAATAGGGACAGGAGTCTGGGTCTGCCCCTGGTTGGGAGTTTCTCCCTGTGGCCCTGGCATACACCTGCCGCAGCTCCTTTATTTTCATGTGAACCTGCTCCTGGGTTCACATGTGGCCTTTGGTGGCCAGGCTGGCAGCCATCCGCTTGTAGACGGTTGTGTTCCTCTGTTTAGTACGGAGATCATGGACGTTGCAGGCATCCCTCCAAACCTGAATTAGGTCCCTGATCTCCACACTGGACCAGGCAGGGGCCCACCTTTTCTGGCCCCTGGCAGGCTCCTGGGAGCTAGCAAACTGGTCCTGGGGAGTAGTGGAGGGCAGGCTAGCACTGGCTGCCTGGCTCATGTTGGGGCCACTGGGTCAGGTGCAGCAACTTCTGGCTCTGAGCTGGCAGGTTTGGAGCTGGCACAGGGACTGTGGCCAGAGTCTACCCCTTTAAAGGCTCCGGGGTGTGGGGGAGGGAGAGGAATTTTCTTTGTTGTGCCCAGAGTGACCACCAGGGCACCCTGGGAAGGGCTGAAGGCCCCCTATTTTGAAATAAGCGGTTACACAGCACTTATTTTTAAATAGCAATTTCAAAATTGGCGCTATTCCTTGTGGAATGAGGTTTACCAATTTCGAAATAAGCTCTCTGCTATTTTGATTTAATTTTGAAATAGTGGTTTAGCTGTGTAGACGCTGGTAAAGTTATTTCGAAATAACGGCTGTTATTTCGAAATAACTTTGCTGTGTAGACATACCCTCCCTATAGCCCATGTTTCTTCCCAGCTATCTGCTATTTCAGCTCTATAATACTATTTCATTGATATATGTTAACTAAGGAAAGCAAAACAGATTTTTTAATATTTCTAAATTTAAGGACAAGAGGGGAGATAATTTCAACAGTGCAATTCATATTGTCCTCTATCTAAAAAATATGTTTTTTTCATACATGAATAACTGCAACTTTAGTTCATTTGAGAAACATGGTGATGGATGTCATGTATTAAAGATCAGAATCTGACCTCATCGAAACTCTCTCACCATCATTTATGTGCTGTGAATTTTATATTTTTAAAGAAAGAAATAACAGACATAGAAGTTCTCTTTCATTCAAATGCGAACATGCCAGGGGACAGAAAGGCAATTTTAAATTGCACATAGAGATTAGTGACTTTTTACTTCTTTGTCAGGGGAAGTGATTATCTTACCAAGACAATAAGAAAGAGTAAAACAAGTTTTCCTCTACTGAGGCACAGTATTTGTTAAAAATTTATATATTCACATTTAACTTGATGTCGATAATGGAATATACTTATTTCCCCTGACTCCACCTTAATGCCATTAACAATACAAGGATGGGAAAGATTTAGTAGCCAGATGAGAAACAAACGCACACAGTCCATCTACAAAATTTTACTGTATTTCTTTTAATGGGAAAGGTGCCAGCTTGATGATTGGAGACTGAAGACTCATCTACTGACAGAACATCACCCAGTCATTTTACAGATCAACAATGATCTGTGATCAATAGTGGTACAGCTTTTATCATAGACTAGAGAAGGTATTGCATTCCATTAGTAGTCTATACGGTATTCTGATCCAACTTTTCTCTTAAAATTAACTAGTACAACAATATTTGGACTTTGCTACTAATAATCTCCACAATATTGGTCTCCATATGAGAAGAGCGCTGTTGTGATTAGGGATGTAAAATTCCAATTAATCAGTTAACTTGTTAAATGCTGGGTTAACCTAACGTTTAACTGGGTAAATGACCAAGTGGAGTACAGCCCCTGGGCAGCGGGGCACTGATTAACATTAACCGATAGCTGGTTAACCAGTTACCCATACACATCCCTAATTGTGACAGGCACTATACAAATGCGATAGTAGACAATCCCTGCCTTTAGGAGCTTCCCATCCAAATTGTACTAGGCAGAAAATTACTATATTGTCAACATGTATGACAATACCTTATGCACAAAACTACTTTTCTAGAAAGTCAAGCCTGTTTTAGTCCCACCCTCTCAACAGACCCAAAGTTTCTTTTGGCAATAAAAAGTTATGGTGAATTCGGAAAAAAAACCCACTCAATTTCCTCTCTTATACAAATGCCTCCGCTTCCTACTGACAATATTCTCGGTTTTATTAATGTGCAGGTTCTACCTCCACAGATCTTTCAGAAGAACTAACCTTCCCCTTTGATCCTTTCATGGCTAAACTACCAAAGGATTAACAGCTTGTTTTAAAAGACCTATGTTAATAGTTAAATCTCATGTGGCCTGACACTGACCCTTCCTCTTCATAGCATGCAAGCATCTGGACTGAGTCTTTTTGAGATTATGGTTCAGACTAATTAAACAAAAATGTTCACGAGGAGAAAAAGACAGCAAGGGAAAACCACATGTTCCAAAGTAATATACAACAAACATACATAGATTAAATCAATTTTCAGAATTTATTTCCTTATGTTAACAAGAAGGTTTCCCCTTCTGAAAATAACAGAGACTCTTCTCTCCTCCCTTTCCCATGTTTCATTTTTGTTGTGTTATTTGTTTATGCTATTGTTCTTTAAGTGCATAGCACTAAACTTACCATGTCACTTTGAGGCTGAGACACAACAATAGGCTGGCCAGCATCACATGTCTCTCTTATATGCAAATGCAATGGAACATCTCCTGTATTAAAAATACCAAAACGCATTTATGTGAAAATTTAATATTTCATAAGTACATTTCATTAATCTAGCCCTGAAGCTACTTGAAATAAAAATCCAGTTCAGGATATTCTTTGAATTACTTAATCTAAAAAAATTAGCATTTAAAATGAAAATTAGCTGCAGCAGAGTTCCACATGTCCACAATCATTAGTACTGAATATATTTCTAATATATTCACTTTCTGGAAAAAGAGCAGATTGCTTTGCAGTAATTTGTTATGACAGGAAGTTAACATCCTTGCTTGCTGAAGACGCAGAAAAGTTCAAGAGGAGACATTTCTATGGTCCAAACATTTTGAATAGGTACATAATAAAAAACACTTGTTCTTTGGGTGCCACAATAACATACTATATAACATCTTTTTTTAATTTTGTATTTCAACAGTGTTTTGAGATTTTAATTAATATCCAAACGATAGCACAGTTTATTGCTCAACAAAATGTGCTCTAGTCCTTATTAGGCCATTGATTTAATTAAGTGCAAGCTATATATTCAACACAGTCTATAACTAACTATATTTGGAATCATCAGAGAACTGTTGTAAAAGAAACAACTGTTCTGAAGGAAAAATCACTTATCGACCCATTGGATATTTTCATTTAATTGTGAAATATTTTCCAGCACTAAATGTTAGCTTTTTAAAATTCTATAATTATTTATCCCAACACAAATACTGCCTATGAGATGAAATGCACAGTTAAAAACTGATGATTTGCCAATATGGCATTTCTACCATGCTGGAGGACTGTCTACTCTTCATTCAGGCCTTGTCTGCACTCAGAAATTTCACTGATTTAACTAAAAGTGTTTTTTTAAATCAGTTTAATTAAACTGATAGAGGTGCTCTTAATTTGATTAGGAAGTGTGTTACTTTAACACCAGATTAAGATTAAAAGAAAAAAATTGCTAAACTGAAACAAATGTTCACATATAAGTTTAGAAACTTCTTGTTAAACAGATGCAAGTGCGGGTATAGTCAAAGCCTTGGATGTCAGGAACATGCAAGAGTTGGTCCAAGAAGTACTGCAGTTGAGCCACTATGTTACAGTGACCAAAGTAACTTTTTAAGCTTAACTTCATTAGAGAAAGAAATTCAAATCTTGCACTGAACTTTGAAAGAGGATTTTAAAAAAAATTTAGAGGATGCTAGTAAAAAAAGTCCACAAAAGAAAAAAATATCTTGGAAGCATAGGTGTTGACTCCTTGAATTGAATTCTGCACTTAAGGAAGAGCTGTAACCTCTGTTATACTACAATCTATCCTCCCCACAATTGCTCAGTACTTCAATTTTTTGCACAGACTTAATTCTGCGAGAATTTAAGTACATCCATTAATTTTTGTGTGCACTAAATGTAATTAAAAATTGGGACTTTAAGAAGCTTACCATTGCAGGTCAAATCTTTTCTTTGTCCTGAATGCTCTTAATATTGGACTAATACAGATTCACCAAAGTCCCATGTTACTAAACATTACTGTTTTCTTGTTCATAGGCCACATTCTTGAAGGCTTTTTTTTTTTTTAAAAGGATTCAGTGCAATTTTTTGAAATCAATTTTCACAAATAAAGTATACTGCTCCAGCAGCAATAGAATGATACAAATAACTCCCCTTTTTCAAAATGGCTGCCATCTCCTCCTGTTCTCAAAAAGATTAAGGGCCACATTTACACAGGTAGATAGGTGCCTAAAGATGCAGAAAAGTGCCCAGGGTGATTTACAAAAACAATTAAGGATAAAAAGAATATTGCTGCAAAACTAAATGATTTTTTAACAGTATTCATCACTACACAGCATATCCATCCGTGACCGACTCTATCGGAAATAACAGTGAGACACTATGAGAGACTGAGGTTATTAAAAAAAAAAAAGAAGGGCTAGAACAAGCTCATAAAAGCAACAAGTCCATTCAGTCCAGATGGTATATGTCCAAGAGTTCACCCTCTAACAATGAAGCTGCTGAGCTGCTAGCAAAAACACACAAACTTATTGTTTTAAAAAAAAATACTGGTACCAGGGGATTGAACAGTAGCAATTGTTTTGTGTTTTAAAAAAAGAGGTTAGAAGTGATCTGGGATATTACAGATCAATAAGCCAGACTTATGCATCTGGTAAATTTAAACAACTGAAAATTGAATTTTAAGAGATCTAGGCAATCACTTTATTAGGGTATAACCAGCATAGCTTTTGCATAGCAAAATCTGTTAGAAATTTAAAATAATTCAATCTGTTAAAGTTAACTGAATGTGTTAATACAGAAGTCAATGACAGGAAATGGATTGGTATACTTTATTTGAACTTTAAAGTCCTTTAAGAAAGTTTCTCAAAAGAAGCTACTAGAAAATTCAAGTACTCATAGTGTGTTCGTCAAAGTAATGGATCAGAAAATGTCTGACACAAAAAAGAAAGGGCAAATTTTCATCATGATAAAATGTAACAATAGAGTGTCATAACGTTCTACACTAGCACTAGGGATGATAGATAGTGTGAATAGTGTAACGTCATTAAATTTTAACAGTTACATGACTATTCACAGTTACACGACTCTGGAGACAGGGCCAGCAGTCCCGTGCACTCCTGGCTCCACTCCTATCAGAGGCAGCAGCGCCAGGTGGCAGCAGGAAGCTAGGACCCCGCACAGACAGGGGATGCTGCTGCAGAGCAGTCTCTGCCCCTGCAAGCCCAGGCCACTGCGGACAGAGGCTGCTTTGCAGCAGCCTCCCAGCCCACCCTCCCCACCCCCCCGCCATGCTGCTGCCTCTGATAGAGCCAGGAGCAGGGGAGGCAGCATCGCGGACCTGGTGCTGGGAGGAACCGGCTTTTAAGCCAGCTCCCCCCAGCACCTGCTCCTGCCTATTCCCGACCCTGCTTCCTTTGTAGGAGGCAGTAAGGGGTGGCATGTGGGTCTGCAGAGCCAGCACACGCGGGGAGCCTGCTTGTAAGCTGACTTCCCACATATCAGCTCCCGCCTACTCCCCTCACCCTCCATGCTGCTACCTCTCTATTAGAGGCAGCAGCACAGGGGGGTTGGGAGCAGGCAGATCCGATGCTTGTGGGGAGCTGCCTATTAAGCCAGCTTCTCATGGGCACTCGTTTCTGCTCCTCCACCCCCACCACGTGGGAGTCTACAAGATTAACCGATAAGCCCAGGCTTATCAGTTAATCGTGTAGTCATCTACACGCTGACATCTCTAACTAGCACCAGCATGGTCTAACATATTAATCACTGATATACAAGGGAGCGAGCGAGCAGTGAGGTTGCAAAATTTACAGGTGACATAAAATTATTTGGTTAGTCAAAACTGAAGATGCAGAAACATCAGAGTCTTCCAAGTTAGGTGTCAGATGCTGCCTCCCTGTTGTCAGGCTTAGTGACTGGAGGGAGGTCAAAGCAGACTTCAGATTGGGACTGGGCTAAGGATAGCACTAGATTCAAGATCTGTGGACAGGCCATGGTCAGAACAAAGATCAGGATTGATAGCCAGAGTCCAGATGCTAGCCACAGGTTGAAGCCAGATGATCAGAATAAAGGAATAAGACAAGTCCTAGCATTCTATGATTCTATGATTCCTGGCCAAACCATTCAGGATCACCTGTCAGAGGCTTTCTAGTGAGATAACCATGCTGAGTCCTTATTCAATCCTAATTTGATTGAGCTAAATTTGTAAATGAATTGCAGCTCTACTGTTGCTCTTTGTAGTCTGGTTTTGGAGATTTTTGTAGAAGGATGGCTACTTTTAAATCTATTAGTGAGTATCCACAGAGGTTCAACTGCTCTCCTGCTGGTGCATGCACGCTACCTTTCTTGATGTCTTATTTGTGTCCATTTATCCTTCAGAGCAGAGCCTATCCAAGATACACGGCAGAAGGGCATTGCCACATGATGGCATATATCGCGTTAATAGACGTGCAGGTGAATGACCCCGATGGTGTGGCTTATGTGGTTAGGTCATGTGATAAGGGTCTCTTATATAGATATGTTGACAGAGCTGGCAACAGCGTTGGTTTCAGGTATTGGTTCCTGGGTATCTATCTGAGGTGTGGTGTGTTGCTGTTGGAAAGGATTTACTTCAGGTTGGGGAAGTTGTCTGTAGGAGAGGACTGGCCTGTCTCCCAAGGGATCACTTTCCAGGATAGGTTGTACATTGTCAATGATGTGCTGGAGGGATTTTAGCTGGTGGATGCAGGTGATAACCAGTCTGTTGTTATCTTCATTGAGCCTTCCCTGTAGTAGGTGACTTCTAAGAAGTTATCTGGCTCTATAAATCCATTTTTTCCACGTCCCTAAGTGAAAGCTTTAAGAATGCTTGATAAAAGATCGTGTAGCTCAGTGGTCCCCAACCTTTTGAGGTTGTCGGGCGCCAGGGAGCGTGGCCGTTCGCCCGCCGGGCGCCAGGGGGCGGGGACACTAGCGCACCCGGGGGCGGCCCCCCCTTGCCACGCGCACGGGGGCGGGCCCCCCCCAGCTGCGTGCCTGGGGGCGGGGCCCCCTCCAAGGGCCGCGCGCCCGGGGCCGGCGCTTCCCCCCTCCCGCCGAGTGCCGCGCGCCCGGGGCCGGCGCTTCCCCCCTCCCGCCGAGTGCCGCGCGCCCGGGGCCGGCGCTTCCCCCCTCCCGCCGAGTGCCGCGCGCCCGGGGCCGGCGCTTCCCCCCTCCCGCCGAGTGCCGCGCGCCCGGGGCCGGCGCTTCCCCCCTCCCGCCGAGTGCCGCGCGCCCGGGGCCGGCGCTTCCCCCCTCCCGCCGAGTGCCGCGCGCCCGGGGCCGGCGCTTCCCCCCTCCCGCCGAGTGCCGCGCGCCCGGGGCCGGCGCTCCCCCCTCCCCCGGCGAGTCCCGCACGCCCGGCACTCCCCCCGCAAGTGCCTGTGCGCCACGTGCCCGGGGACAGGCCAGCCCCGAGCACCTGGCGGGCGCATTGAAATGCCCCCACGGGCGCCATGGCGCCCGCGGGCACCGTGTTGGGGACCACGGGTGTAGCTGTTTGTCTCTGTCTGAGGGTCTGGAGCAGATAAAGTTGTATCTTGGGGCTTGGCTGTAGACAATGGATCATGTGCTGTGTCCTAGATGGAAGCTAAAGGCATTTAGGTAAGAATAACTGTCAGTAGATTTCTGATAGAGGGTGTGTTTATGTGGCCATCATTTATTTGTACTGAAGTGTCCAGGAAATGGATCTCTTGTGTGGACTGATCCAGGCTAAGATTGATGGTGGGATAGAAATTGTTGAAATGCTAGAAGTCAAAGGCCTCTTTCCCATGAATTCATATGATGAAGTCATCAATGTGTATCAATATTTATCCTCCAGGGCACCTGGGTTCTGGGCCATGAGGAGCACATTGTCAATATATGCCAACAGGATTACCCAGAAATTTGTCTCTCTGAGCACTAATTTTATAATCTGTTAGAAGGACAGCTATGTGAACAGCCCTGGTTTGGCTGCAGGTTTGCTTCACAACAGATGAATGGACAATATTATGACATTCAGTGTTGGGGTTAATTCACAAATGCATGAATTGGAGGCAATAATTTGAACAACTAATTGCATCAATCAAAGAAAAAGCCCTGGTATTGTGTAGGCAGCTCAAGACCTTTGTTCAATATGGACACAAATAAAAATGTTAGAATATACAAGAAATAGGACAGAATGGAGAATAATACAGAAATTATGTTTCCTTATAAAAATCAACAGTACAATCTCATTCGTGTCGCTACTTTTAAAAAACAAGTAGTGAAAGAGAAAGATCCGAGAATTGGGGATAATTAGTGATAGATTATCTCTTATCTGAAAAATGACAAGATTTGGACTGGTTCCTTTAATGAGAAGATGAAGAAATTTCTAAATCAACCGCTATTCCTAAATGTCCCTTAATCCTTGTGGAACAAGGTGTACAGGGACGTCGGAACAGAGCATCTGTTATTTTGAAATAACAGGTGTGATGTCAAGACACTAAATAACTATTTCAGGATACTGGAAGTATCCTGAAATAAGCATGAGGTGTAGATATACCCTAATAGAATATCCTTGGTTGGTCCATGTCAACTGCATCAAGAGACTGAGTCAGCTAACATAGGGCAAACCAGGTTTTATTGCAGTGTAAACATGAACTTGAGGCCAAGGGCTTAGGAGGATTCAAAAGAGGAACAGACATTTATATGGCTAACAAGAGGGGCCACATTTTTAATTATAAACTAAAACACACCCAAGAGCTTTAGAAAGTACACTATAATATAAACCCGTTGTGTCAACACAGTTCTAAATCAGTAACCAACCAGCCAAATGCTGCACATGGCTAGCATGTTATACACCATGGCTATAGACCCTTAGAACTTTTGGTCACAAGTCAAATTCTAACTATTGGACATTCGAAGGAGATATTCCCTATGGGCAGATTACTTCATAACTGACTGTTGCAGGTTTTCTTCCTTTGAAACATTTGGTACTGGCCATTGTTGGAGACAGGACATATACTGGTTTGAACCTGTATGGTAATTCCTATGCTTCTATGTACAATATAAACTACCTTTGTCTTTTACAGCAATATATTCATGCTATATATGGGGAGGCTAGGAAAAGTATATTTGTATCCACTCCTCTTCAAACCTTGTCATCCCTGGACAACAAATTCCTTGGCTCCACCCTGGTTTCCCCTCCCTGGCCAACTATGCCCATTGTGGGAGCAACAAAAGTCACGTATGGGGACCAATGGCTGAACAAGCATTACTCTGCACTGCTTGTACACTGCTGATGAAAGATTTGCACCCACCTGTGTAACCCAGGGCTGAAGCAACCCACTTTGACTCTGATATTCATGTGAAATGCTTCCACCACACCATCAAAAGACCCTAAATGTGTGCCTTCAATTCCATTCCCATTTTAAATTTGTATCAAACCTTGATGTCTTCATGCAGATTTAAAATGAACTCCCTGGTTCATTTTAATGATAAGCTGTGGAATATTATTGACATAATTACAGTAACACTTGGGTACACATCATTAGCATGTACAATTATCCCATTGACCAACTTCAATATGCTTTTATATTTTATAATGTCTTCCTGATCTCTCAGGTTTAAACATACCTTTTTGAAAAATAGCAAACAATTAATCCACATTTTAAAATTATATGTATTCCACATTAAATCAATAATATGTCAAAGATTTTTATTTTGAGTTACTTATGAGTTAAGATAAATTTTCTTTTGAAACCACATTTTGCAATCCTGTTTATTCCTGAAATCCCATCTAGCAATTAAATACATAATTGAAGTGATCTAATCACAATTAAACTCTGTCAGTGTAAATATAACTGACCTCGGACAACGAGTGTGAGTGATTCAAACAAAATGTGAAGTACTTTCTTGCCAAGCAAAACACAACAATTAAATATTCTACATGCAGATACAAAAATAATGGGTGTAATGAACTGCTTTTCAAATTACAAAGATTTCCCACATATATAAAAAAAACATACTCCTGTTCTTAATAGAGTCAACTGAACTGTCACTTCATTAGTAAGAGTTTAGGTCCTAAACATCAATTCATACGTGTTACTAAATTTCACCACAATGAACAGTACACTTTATTATTTAACAATGATATAATTTGACAAATAATATTATATGTTGCATGCTGTATAATACATAGATATCAGAACAGTCCATGTTCTTAAGAATTTACAGTCTAGAAAACAGTCAAGATTTCCAAGATCCAGACACTTGCTCTCCTCACTTATGGTCCTTATATGAAAATATTAATCATATTCAACACAAACTACCAAATCTAGCCAGCATTCCATTAAAAGGAAAAAAAAACTCAAAAATTATTGACAGCACAAAAATTGTAATGATAATAATTTAAGATGGTTACTGCACCGATTTTTTCTGTTTGACCATTGTAACATTTGATATTGTAACACAGCAGTGCAGTCACACTCTTTTTTTTCCAAGCAGAACTTTCCTTATGCATTTCATTAATCTGTCCATCAAAAACAAAAATTATGTTAGTATTCTTACCTAAAACATCCAGTCCAAGAGTTTTTGCTAGATCTCTTACACCATTTGCTCCGAAAATATGGGTTTCATGTTTACATTTTGGACACTGGAAAACACTCATATTTTGGACAAGCCCCAAAACCTGTTAAGTAAATAAAATTCAAATCTGGTATATTACATCTATCCACATATGGCATTAGCAAATAGATCTCAAACAAGATATCTTAAAAGCATACGTTTATAATGAATAGACTGTGTTAAACAATGTCACCACAACTAGATTCCTGGCTCATCAACAAAGTAATTTAACTAGATTTTATTTGATCTGCATTTTATATATTTTATACTAACTTAATATTCACTGCAAGATTGCTGCCTTTCCTATCAAGATTATCAAGCACATTTGTTACAAAACATTTATTATGCTATCCAAACTGCACTACTTAACTTACAAACAACACTTCAGGACATTTCAGTGGTTATAAATAATGGTTATATCATAAAACTTTGAACCCTGGAGGTTTTGTGTGTTGTGTTTTACAGCCTTGTAGTTTACAGTTTCATTTCATGAACTGTGACAAGATATGAGACAGGATGGGTGCAATAATACCTTTTATTGGATCAGCTTCAGAAGTTGCTCCAATAAGGGGATCAGAGTCATAAGGTTTTGCATGTGAGGGTGGTGTAGGGGAATGTTGAGGCACAGAGTGGGAGTTTGAGTGAAATGAGTTCAGTGTTGGGAGTTCAGTGGTTTGGGTATGAGAGGAGGGGAAGGGGGGCTCCAGATGCCAGATCAATGGGATAGGGTTAAAGGTTTTTTATCTAGATGCACAGGGATTGGGTGGATCAAGGAAGAGCTCCCCATATAGTGAATATTCTACCTACAGCTGAGGAGTAATGGGGGAAGGAAGAAAGGAAGGATACTGCAGCTGGGGGGTGGTCTGACACAGCCCAGCCACTCTTTGTAGGTTAAGAGAAAGCTCTGTCCTCTCCTGCCTCCAGCCCAGTCACAACTAGCAGCTGATTCCAGCTCAGCATAGGATGGTGTCCCCAGTTCTGTGGTGATTTACCTCTTGGTCAGCTGCTCTGGGGTCCTGAAACAATGTAACTGAACTGCTAGAAAAAGGTGCATGACTGCTCTTGCAACTGCCCTTTGCTTCCCTGTCAGAAAGTCATTTTTCTGAGGGGGGAGCAAATAAATATTAATTCTGCATATGCATAGTTCCTCCAAAAGTAAACAGAAAGTGAAAAATTCCCCCAAGAATAAATAGAAGGTATTTTCTCCAACATCTGATCTGTCTAGTCTAATATCATGGGACCAATACAGCTAACCTTATACTGCATTACAAGAAGTGTCACCGTTGGACCCATTTAAAAAAAAAAAAAAAAAAAAGCTTTTTTTATATTTAGCTGGAAAATGTCTTCAAAAAGTAACCCAGATTTCCTAGTCTCTCTGAAGAAGAGAGAGACATTTAAAGATCAAACAATAAAATTATATGCAAAGCTAAAACTGTGTGACAAAAAACTAACATAATTGTCTTCCTTGCAGAAATATGAAGAAAGTTCACCAACCTGAACATGAAATCTACTCTTCCATGTTTTAGAATGATGCTAAGGATAACACCAATCATATTTTGTTTACCTATCTAACAAAGTTAAGTACTAGAGATGACCAGGAATTCAGCAAATCTGTCAGGAATAAATTACAGAAAACCTGCACAATGATAGCCTCATGTCGCACAGTCAAGTGTTATATATTTTATTTCTATAAGCAGGTCACCTAGAATCATAGAACTGGAAGAGACCTCAGAAGGTCATCAAGTCCAGCTCCCTGCTCTAGGCAGGACCAATTCCAACTAAATCAACCCGGCCAGGGCTTTGTCAAGCCGAGACTTAACCCTTCTAGGGATGGAGACTCCACTACTTCCCTAGGTAACCCATTCCAGTGCTTCACCACCCTCCTAGTGAAATAGTTTTTCCTAATAGCCAACCTGGACCTCTCCCACCACAACTTGAGACCATTGCTCCTTGTTCTGCCACCTAAACATAAGCGCCAAAATTTCCAAATTTCTGAGTGAAAATTCAAGATACAGATGACCTTTGAGAATTTCCACTTGAATGGGTAAACTTCAGCACCTGAATAAAGTGACCTGGTTTTCAGAAATGCTAATCATCGTCAGTTCCCAGTGAAGTCAATGGGAGCTGCAGGGTTTCAGCGTCACTAAAAATTATAATCAAATTACTTAGACTGCTATCTACACTATGCACCAACCCTTTGTCATTCAAGTTTGAAAACACTGGCTAATGTAAAGAATATATTGTGAGAAATACAAATGGGTAAACATGTTCTTTTTCCTTTATGGCACATAACTAAGTTCAATGTACAATCAAATACAACTAAACACTTCTAAAAAATTAAGTGAGTAAGCTTTGATGTACTGGTTTTCTGTACCTGCATTTGCTATTCCATGCCAGCATATGTAAAATCAAGCATTACTATTTAGAGGTGTCTGAGGATTTATATCAGTTCAGGTTTTATTCTCAGTTCTTCAACTGGGAACGAATACAGCTGTTGCATAACAACATAAGAAAGGCCATACTGAGTCAGACCAAAGGTCCATCTAGCCCAGTATCCTGTCTGCCGACAGTGGCCAGTCCCAGGTGCCCCGGGGGGGTGGACCAAAGACAATGATCAAGAAATTTATCTCCTGCCATTCTTCTCCAGCCTTTGACAAACGGAGGCCAGGGCACCATTCCTTACCCCCGGTCTAATAGCCTTTTATGGACCTAACCTCCATTAATTTATCTAGCTCTTTTTTAAACTCTGTTCTAGTTCTTGCAGGGGCAGCCCATTCAATTTCTAATGGGAGGCACAAGGAAGGAGAAAGAAAGAGACAATGTTTTATAGAGCTCTTTATGTTCTGCTCTTGAGCTCCTAAAGGAGCGATATCATAACATCAGGATTTCAATGTGTGTATAAATTGGAAACAAAGATACTTAAGTAGGATGATATTTTGAGGTCTGTGGAACATCTCCTGGGGGATGAAGGAGAAGAGACTAAGATGATTTATCCAATTAAGTCTTTTAATTAAGATACAAGAGGCCTATTCCTCACAACAGAACAAAGAAACTTTGCATCTGTCCTATAAGCACACACATCCATTTTCAGGACCTAGCTTTTTAAATTTTTGTAGTTCTCTTAGAGTACATGAACACCACACACTTCTTTTGGTGGCATTTAAAGAATCTACCTACTTAGCCACAAAAAGAGAGATATAAATTACAGTGTAGCAAGTGAGGCAACGCTTAGGCAAACAAAGATATGCCTGAAGAGTGTGGGTATGTACACAAGTACATCCAACATGCTCTCTACTTGCCCAAGTTATGCCTCCCTTTCTGCAGAAGCTCTTCCCTACTGAAGGAAAATTATTGGGGGTGGGGGAGTAGAGGTGAAGGTGTGAGCAATTCCACTGCTGGAGCCACTCTCCACAGCAGGGCATCTGTACAACCATTTTCAACTGACGACAGCTGCACACTTGGATACAGCCTCCTTTTTCAATGCAGGGAGCAGCCATGTCACCAGTGGCATATAGTGCAAATGTAACCATAAAGTAATTGTAATTTTTTTTAAATCAAGAGAACACATGACCCCAGAAAAAGTGAAGTAGTCTTACCATGTTTTGTTTCAATATTTTATAGCTGTTTTGTATAACTGTTTCATTCATCCTTTGATGACACGACACAGCCAGAAAAAGTAACTGTCTCACAATTTCAGTAACACAATGTTGCTGAGGTGTAATTGTATCCTCCATGCTAAGCCAGTAGTCATTTCTAATTTTTTTTCTTTTTTACTTCAACTAGTCTTACTGAAAGCAAATTACTCTGGCTATGTCTAGACTACACTGATCTATTGGAAAAAGGTACACAATTTGTGTACCTTTTTCTGATAGTTATTTCTGAAGAGTCTTTTACAAAATTTGGCCTGTCTACACTGGGCAAATTTTCGGAAAAGTCTCCTCTTTCAGAAGACCTCTTCTTCCTTGTGGAAAGAGGAAGACAGGGCTTCCAAAAGAGCGCATCTGCTCTTCCGCAAAAAAAAGCAGAAGAGGAGACGCATTCCCTGGACGTGGTGGCGTTCTTCCAGGATACCTTTGGTATCCTGGAGAAACCCTGTAATGTAGACATAGCCTCCAGATATTGCAGTCTGTAGCATAAGCTGACCACTGACAAATTCATAGCTAGAAACCAGTCCAGCTCACCTATATGTTAATGTTCTTCAAGATAGGTGGTTGGAGACTAAATACATCTTTACAAGTCTATAAAATGATTACACGTTGCTGCACGCACTAATGTTACTAAAAATGTCTGTATTCCATGCTTTAGCGTAAAATATGCCTTTTTTTTTAATAAATGAAAGAATGCCTGCTCTCAACCTGTTAACTAAAATAGGAAGAAGCGCTCCCTCCTTCTACACACACATTCAGGAGGCCTGTCAAAATTCAATGGGTGATCACAGAACAAAAAAGTTTTAATTGTTTCATTCTACCATAGAAAAGTCCATGCAAAAGGCTTTACCCCATTGGTTTGAATGTTGGAAGAGGCAAATAAAAATAGCTAACATGAAGATTTTTCATCTCTTGGCAAGTCTGGACTCTTAAAACAGCTGGAGATAAGATACAAAAAGCTCCCTGGAGTGGACATGGCTCACTCCTAAGACGACATTCAAACGTGACAGATTACTCTATCTCTGTCACTTTTTGATTCACAGACTGAAACTCAAACAAGCATAGTCTTTCATGTACAAATCGATCTGGGGTAAGTAACTGATCTCTTGAGACATGAAGCAACCTAAAACATGCTCTTTCAGTCACCCCTATATTCCTCTATCCACGAGGAATAAGGGGGCTTCCAAAAGAAGGGGGTTTTCTGACATTTGGTCCAGTCTAGGCAGGCCAAATGTTGGAAAACCTCTTCCTACAGAAGAATTGGAAGAAAAAAAAAAGGCAGCGGTGTAAGGGCTGGGGATAGCAAGTGATGGAGAGGAGGAGAATAGAGAGGGCGGGGCTTCAAGGAAGGAGCAGATCTTGGCTTGTTTTGTCATTTAAAAAATGATCTTGGGTGTAAAAAGGTTGGAGACTACTGCTTTAGAAGAAAACAGACCTTAGGTGCTTTCTCCTGTACAACAGCCAACTGTCCCACCAACCTGAATTAGGGATGTGAAAGATTAACTGATAGAGGCTGGAGCATCACATTTAACTGGTTAACCAAATAAACAGGATTTTACATCCCTAATCTGAATCTCCTAAACAAGAATCTCAGCTTTTATTAAAAACAATCAGGTTAGCCCTTTTACTTTCAAAGATAGTCTTGAAAACATAAACCATCAGACACTGCTCACTAAAATTCAAAGTGCATCATTGATTTTTCCTAAAGATTTTCAGTGTATTCATGGATTTCTCCACCAGCTGCCCTGTGCTGGCCTTTGGGGTTCATGAAAACCATAGCCACAGATTCTTCCATTTAGAGTAGATTCCAAAAATTCACAGCTATAGAAGACAGTGTCACATTGTATTGGCTCCAGAGCAACAGAGGCAGGCATGCTTCCTGCCAGCTGGATGCCAGTAGTTAAACTGGCTCCTCTGCCCACAATGAGTCTGACAGCTGCCCGCAGGAGCTAGAGTTCAAGGTGATAAGAGAGCACATGATCTTCTAATGGAGAAGTCTTGCTTTGTAATTCAGACTCCAACACTGATACACCTCTTTAGCCTTGGTCAAGTCATTTAATTTCTCTGTTTTTAGCATCCAATGTGTCAACAGTGGATAATACAATGGACATCCTTATCTCACTTTGGGGACAATCAGTCAATATTTATAAAAAAACAGCATGTGTTGTGATAAAATTTACCAGAATACATGCAAAATCCTTCAAGGGCTTTGTGTTGGGTAGCCAAGAGACCATCAACTTCTATGGAAAGCTGCTCCTTTCTAAACATTTGAATGGCAATGCTGGGTCATATCAAAGGTCCATATAGTCTAGTATTCTGTCTTCCAATGGTGGCCAGTGTCAGGTGCTACAGAAGGTATTGATAGAAAAGGTAATCAAGTGAGCCATCCCCTATTACCCATTCAATGTCAATTCCTTTTACACTTTTGATTTTACATTTTAAAGTTAAATTTAAAAATTAATTCAACGAAAAAATTACAAGGCTATCATTAAAAGGTTCATAGACTCGTGATTCACAGGACATTTGGAGTCAAAGCTGTTACTGTACGAAGTCAAAGCTCCACATTCATCTCTCTAGAGGCGTCTTTATTGTGCACCACCCCCTCACCCAGATTCCATTGAGTCCCCATGGTGTGACCTGTCGCAAAATCCGCTCCGGTCCTTCTCGCACCGGCTGATCATGCCTCGAGCACTAGGGGCGTCGGGTAGGTGGACTCGGGCCCACCCACTCTCCCGAATCCCGGTCCAGAGCCCTAAGGCAGGGAGACCACTTCCTGTCCAGCGTGTGGGGCAGTAACCCCTCAACTCACCCGCTCTCAGGTTCCACGGCCCCGCCCTGGGCCACTTCCTACCCCGCCACCTTCGTTCCCCCGTTCCCGACAATCCCAGGGTCTGAGTTACCTCACTCGGTGTTGGGCCTCCTCTCCTTTGAGTCCCCATCCTGCCCCCCTTAGGTCCTTCTTCGGGTCTCTATTTCAACGACCCGCTGTCCTGGTGGGTGATGTCATTGCCCAGCACCATCGGGCCATCACGCTCGGCCCTGACATCCTTACCCAGAGCCCCAAGATCAGGTCGCACGGCACTGATGTCATCCGCCTGTGCAGGCCAGCTTGCCTGACTGGCGTTCTTGGCGCTGGGGTCTGGTCAGGGTTGGGCATCCGCTTCCCGTGGCCCCTGTGCGACTGCTCCCACAGGTTTTCCGCAGGCCGCCTTGCCTCATAGTCCCTTCTCCTGGGGCCCCCCCAGACTCTCCTGAGTGCGGGGTTGTGACACCCCTCCACAGTTACCCTATCAATTTTCCCAAAATGCCTATAGCTATTACTGAACTTTCCAAACTTTGTATGATCTCAAATATTTGTGCCATCACTTATGCAGCAGCAACTAATTAGAATAAGGTAAATTAAAGACAGAAGCAGACCACAGCTGTTTCACTGATCTTCATTCAAATCAGTTTCTTCGTTTACTGTAACATTTAACTGTATTTAATATTTTTGTACCTCTTTCCTGAGATCTCTCTTAACAGTAATTTACATTTCATAGGCCTGATCTTAACCACCCTAGATCATGCTGCCTTTTGTGGTATTGAACTCAGTGGGAGTTGAAAGAATTCAGCACCTCGTAAAATTTGCTCCACTACAGTAATCAGCCATAAAATAATCTTAGCAAGATAGGTTTATATCAGGCTAAATCCCCACAGAGAATGATGACTGACATTAACAGTAATGAAACTTAGTGGTACATGTAGTGAGTAATAATTGTTTCTTGTACTTGAGTGAGGCAAACCTTTGAAGATGCGAGACTGGTTTTTTTTCCCCTTAAAATTAAAGTAATTCAGGACATGCACAAGTGCTAAGGAGGAGAAGACAACACAAGGGAAATCAAACTAACAGCGTGTAAATGCCTGATCATCTTATTACAGTGGTCTCCAACCTTTTTAAGCACAAGATCACTTTTTGAATTTAAGGGCAACCCAAGATCTACCTCAAACCCAAATACCCTTGCTGGGTCTCCTTTTACCCCTTCTCCGAGCCGCCCCTCCCCCTCCCTCCATCCTCCCTCACTTTCACCAGGCTGGGACAGAGGATTGGGGTACAGGCTTTGGTCTTGGATTAAGGGATTTGGAGTGTGAAAGGGGCTCTGAGCTGAGTTTGGGGCAGGCAGTTGGAGTGCAGAGAGGGTTCTGGGAGAAGGGGGTTCTAGGTGCAGGCTCTGGTAGGAGGACATTTAGATGCAGGAGCGCTCAGGGCTGGGGCAGGGGCTAGGAGTGCTGGAGGGGGTTCATGACTGGTGTAGAGTTTCAGGATGTGTGCTCCAGCTGGGCACTGTTTATCTCAGGTGCTCCTGGGTGGTGGTGCAGTGAGGCTAAAGCAGGCTCACCCTTGTCCTAGCTCTGCACCGCTTCCAAAAGTGGTCAGCAAACTTAATCCCAAGTCCTGGTGTCCCCTCTCTGCTCTGTGGAGATAGGATACAGAGTGGGAGAGGGGCATCTTGACATGAGCACTGCTCCTCTCCCTCCCCTGCCTGCACAGAAAGCACAAGGATCCTGAGGGCACAGCTCCAAGGAAAAAGGCAGGAGATACAGAGCAGCGTGGGGAGGATCAGCTCATGTGCCGGCCCCTGATAGCCTCTTTGTCAAAACAGTCAGGATCACCTTTCACAGGCTCAAAGGTCTACCAGTAGATCCTGATCTACTGGTTGGTGATCACTGTCATATAACAATACACATACCATACACAGGTAAACACATGATGATCCAAAGACGTATATATGCCACATACATTTTTAGCCTCGAGTGCCATTAGTAATCTGAGAACAACTTTTTTATTTTTGTATAGGGGTTTACTTATAGATCCATATTAACTCTTGTTCCCCAAAACTATTGCTTCTACAAATCCACACTATAGGACTTGACAGGCTGGCCACATGGCCACAGAAACTTTTAAAAAGTAAATGGGAAAGGTACAAATATTACACACACACACTCACAATTCCTTCATCTTAAGATCTGAGTTCCAAAGCAGAGGACTGGGGAGAGGCTCTCTGTGGATCTACTAAAGAACATTTTAAAAAAGGAGGTTTAAAACAAACAGTAGGAAGTTTTTCTTCACTCAGCGCACAGTCAACCTGTGGAATTCCTTGCCAGAGGATGTGGTGAAGGCTAGGACTTTAACAGGGTTCAAAAAAACGCTAGATAAATTCATGGACGTTAGGTCCATCAATGGCTATTAGTCAGGATTGGGTAGGAATGGTGTCCCTAGCCTCTCTTTCTCTGGAGGTGGGTGACACAGGAGGGATCATGTGAGGATTACCTGTTGTGTCCCTTCCCTCTGGGGCATCTGGTATTGGCCACTGTCAGCAGACAGGATACTGGGCTTGATGGACCGTTGGTCTGACCCAGTATGGCTGTTCTTATGAGACTGATTGTGTTAAGTAGCCCGTTTATCACCATTATGACACAGCCTCTATAGGACCATTCTGTAGAAGGCAAGCTAATGTGATGTTTAACTGGTTAACTGATTAAAGGGAGGGCAGGTGGAGGATGGCCGCTCCAGCCTCGGTAAGCTAGAGCACCCATCCTGCCCACCACAGCCAATCTGGAGCAGCCTCCTCACGCCCCTTTCCCCCTCCACCATAGGCAGAAGTTGCTCCAGCCCAGCTGGAACAATCCTTGCCTGGTCCAGCAAGCTGAAGAAACCCGGTCTACAACAGACTGCGTGGGGATGGAGCAGTTCCCTGGCCACAGCTCCAGGCCCCACTGGTTAAATGGAATCAGTATGCATCACCCATTACGAGTGATGCTTACTGGCTAACCTTTCACATACCTAATTCTGATGGAAGCCTCCGCACACTACTGCAAAATAAATATTAAACTAACAACTTTACACACATCAGACTATCAGATTCATCTTAGAACAGCTAATGTTTGGGGGTAGGGGGACACAAACTTTAAGAGAGAAAGAGAGAGGGGGGGGGAGGGGAGTCAGGGCAAAACTGGGAGGCAAGATCAAATCAGTATCTTAGATGTCTATATGCAAATGCGAGAAATATGGGCAATAAGCAGGAAAAACTGGAAGTGCTAATAAATAATAACAACTATGACATTATTGGCATCACAGAAACTTGGGGGGATAATACACGATTGGCATGTTGGGATGGAAGGGTACAGCTTGCTCAGGAAGGATAGCCAGAGAAAAAAGGGAGGCAGTATTGCCTTATATATTAAAAATGTACACACTTGGACTGAGGTGGAGATGGACGTACCAGATAGAAGTGTTGCGAGTCTCTGCGTTAGGGTAAAAGGGGTAAAAAACAAGGGTGATGTCATGCAAGGAGTCTACTACAGGCCACCTACCCAGGCGGAAGAGGTGGATGAGGCTTTTTTTAAATAACTAACAAAATCATCCAAAGCCCAAGATTTGGTGGTGAAGAGGGACTTCAACTATCCAGATATATGTTGGGAAAATAACACAGCAGGGCACAGACTATCCAATAAGTTCTTGGACTGCATTGGTGACAATTTTTTATTTCAGAAGGTTGAAAAAGCAACCGGGGGGGGAAGCTGTTCTACATTTGATTTTAACAAATAGGGAGGAGAATTTGAAAGAGGGAAGACAGCTTGGGTGAAAGTGAACATGAAATCATAGAGTTCACAATTCTAAGGAAGGGTAGAAGGGAGAACAGCAAAATAGAGACAATGGATTTCAGGAAGGCGGATTTTGATAAGCTCAGAGAGCTGATAAGTAAGGACCCATGGGAATCAAGACCGAGGGGAAAAACAACTGAGGAGAGTTGGCAGTTTTTCAAAGGGACATTGTTAAGGGCCCAAAAGCAAGCTATTCCACTGCATAGGAAAGATAGCAAATATGGCAAAAGACTGCCTTGGCTTAACCACGATCTAAAAATGTGGTTGCATGATCTAAAAATAAACAAGGAGTCCTATAAAAAATGGAAACTAGGACAAATTACAAAGAATGAATATAGGCAAACAACACAGAAATACAGGAGCAAGATTAGAAAGGCAAAGGCACAAAATAGCTCAAAATAGCTATGGGAAAAAAGGGAAACAAGAAGACTTTTTATAAATACATTAGAAGCAAGAGAAGTAGGTTTAAGAAGATAAAATTAAAACAAAAAAACAAGTTAAAAATCACTTAGAAAAGTTAGATGCCTGCAAGTCATCAGGGCCTGAGGAAATGCATCCTAGAATACTCAAAGAGCTGATACGAGGAGGTATCTGAGCCTCTAGAGATCATCTTTGGAAAATCATGGGAGACAGGAGAGATTCCAGAAGACTGGGAAAAGGGCAAATATAGTGCCCATCTATAAAAAGGGAAAGAAGACCAACCCAGGAAACTACAAACCAGTTAGTTTAACTTCTGTGCCAGGAAAGATAATGGAGCGAGTAATTAAGGAAATCATCTGCAAACACTTGGATGGTGGTAAGGTGATGGGAAACAGCCAGCATGGATTTGTAAAGAACAAATCATGTCAAACCAATCTGATAGGATAATGAGTCTTGTGGATAAAGGAGAAGTGGTGGATGTGGTATACCTAGACTTTGGTAAGGCATTTGATACGGTCTCACATGATATTTTTATCAATAAACTAGGCAAATACATCTTAGATGGGGCTACTATAAGGTGGGTGAATAACTGGCTGGATAACTGTACTCAGAGAGTAGTTATTAATGATTCACAATCCTGCTGGAAAGGTATAACAACTGGGGTTCCGCAGGGATCTGTTTTGGGACCGGCTCTGTTCAATATCTTCATCAACGATTTAGATACTGGCATAGAAAGTACGCTTACTAAATTTGCAGATGATACCAAGCTGGGAGGGGTTGCGACTGCTCTGGAAGATAGGTTCATAATTCAAAATGATCTGGACAAACTGGAGAAATGGTCTGAGGTAAACAGGATGAAAAGACAAATGCAAAGTGCTCCACTTAGGAAGGAACAATCAGTTTCACACATACAGAATGGGAAGCGACTGTCTAGGAAGGAGTACGTCAGAAAGGGATATAGGGGTTATAGTGGACCACAAGCTGAATATGAGTGAGCAGCGTGATGCTGTTGCAAAAAAAGCAAACATGATTCTGGGGTGCATTAACAGGTGTGTTGTAAGCAAGACACTAGAAGTCATTCTTCTGCTCTACTCTGTGCTGGTTAGGCCTCAGTTGGAGTATTGTGTCCAGTTCTGGGCACCTCATTTCAAGAAAGATGTGGAGAAATTGGAGAGGGTCCAGAGAAGAGCAACAAGAATGATTAAAGATCTAGTGCAGCAAGGGAGGTTTAGGTTGGACATTAGGAAAAAGTTCCTAACTGTCAGGGTAGTCAAACACTGGAATAAATTGCCCAGGGAGGTTGTGGAATCTCCATCTGTGGAGATATTTAAGAATAGGTTAGATAAATGTCTATCGGGGATGGTCTAGACAGTATTTGGTCCTGCCATGAGGGCAGGGGACTGGACTCGATGACCTCTCGAGATCCCTTTCAGTCCTAGTATTCTATGATTCCAACAGCTGTCAGAAGAAGGGGCATCAGACCTGATTGGAGCTTCATCTCCAGGAACAGCCAAAAAGAGGTGCCCAATGTTGAATAAATCTCATAACAGTGCTCACCATCTGAAATGATGTTTTAAGGGCTGTAATTTTACTTTGTTATTTTAGTATACCAAAAATGGTCCCCAAGCCTGAGCCCAGTTTAACTCTATAGCCAAAACCACAGGACGTATTCCACTTCGAAGTGTTTCTCTAATTAATAACATGAAAATCCCAAGGGAAAATAACTTTTTTGTGAAAACCGCTACCTAATCATCAGCAAAGGAATATGGTGTATATAAAGAGTAGATAAATAATGGACACAGAAGGTTTATTTATAATGCAAGCTATTGGAAACTAATTGGCACTAATTGGAAACTAATTTTCAAGGCACAATACTGTTTTGTACCTTCAGTTAAATGCCAGAATAGATTCTTTCCATCGTCCTGTTAAGGCAAGTAAGCAGGTTTCTTTTTTTTAATATCGCAGCATAGAGAAAGTTTTTAAGTGCTGTATTAAAATAGAATTTGTTAAATTCAATAGTTTATTTAATAAATTCAACCTTGTCCACAATTTAGAAATGGTTTACTCTTTGGAAGAATTCAATATATTTATCTGTAACTACTTACAGGCACATGGACTTTTCGAAACATCTCGGCTCCTTTGCGCGCATCCAGTAAAGCAATGTCTTGTGGAGTAGAAACAATCACTGCCCCTGGGAACAGAAAATGTCAAATTAGATTTAAAACTTACACTGTAAATGAAACTACAAAGCTGATTTTGGAATACACTCTACTTCTGAAAAAAAAATTGCTTCTTTATACACGTAGATTATATGTTAAATATGATATTTATGACTTTCGGTTTAGACTATAAATGACCGGATTCCAAGATCTCAAATTATGGTATGGAGAGCTAAAAATAATTAGATGTTTTTACTATTTTTCTATGTGGACAATCACAGTGGTTTCTATATTACTGGGTGGGAAAGAGATTGGCATAAAGAAAGAAAGATGCTCCATGAAACAATGTGTACATAAAAATGCGGTCCACTTTTTGAAAAAGTTTGAGAACCTTTGGATTAACAGCAGCAATGGCCTATAAGTCATAAGGCAGACAAGCTGCACCAGCCTACTAGCTTTGTGGTAGGGTTATGCCAATTGAGACAAGTGATCTAGGGGCATAAGCCTGCACTCTCTACACTAGGAAAAGTTGAATCTTTGAGTTCCATTTCTGGTATGAACACGACTGCTTGCATGATTAAGAGCTTGTATGTTTTCATCACTAGATTTGAAAGTGGCAAATGTAGGCAATTAGGGTATTCAAGATCTATCTCCAGGTTAGTTGAATAACAATGGAAACACTGGCTATCAGTCAGAAACATATAAATATCCCTTAGAGAAGCGGTCTCCAACCTTTTTAACCATGAGATGACTTTTTGAATTTAAGTCCAATCCAGGATCTACCTCAAACCCAAATACCCTTGCCCTGCCTCCCTTCTGCCCCTTCTCCAAGGCTCCACCCCTGCTCACTCCATCCTCCCTCCCCCATCCTCACTCACTTTTATCACTGGGGGCAGGGGTTTGGGCAGGAGGGGTTCACTACTGCGGCTAGGGTTAGGAATGAGGGCTCCAGCTAGGCACCACTTACCACAGGTGACTTCTGGGTGGTGGTGAAGGGGGCTGGGACAGGCTCCCCTCTCCCCGGGCCCTGCACCCCTGCCAAAAGCAGCCAGCAAACTCTCTCCATCCCTGCCCCCTCGCTCTGTGAAGATGGGGGACAGGGTGGAGAGAGGGGCACCCTGACATCAGCACCCCCTCCTCCTCTTCTTCCCATGCCCTGAACAGCAAGCAAGAGGCTGCCAGAGTTGGGGAGCTCCAACGCAGAGGGCAGCACAGAAGTGCTGAGAGGAGCAGATGAAGTGCTGGCACTTGATAGTGTCCCAGCCAAATCTCTCAGGATCATCTGTCAAAGGTTCCAAGATCTACTGGTAGATCCCGATCTACTGGTTGGTGACCACTGCCTTAGAGCCTAGCAATAGGATTTAGCTGGGAGTACAATTTAAAGCATTTTACTGAAGTCATTATCAAGGCTGCTGGTTACTATATTATAATATACTGTCCTACCCTACTGTTCCTTGATTGACAGATTCTGCATTAATATTGTAAACACCACCTTTTGTGCAGGCCTTCCTGTCTAAAAGTCCAAGACATGTTCCAAAAAACTTGGACTTATAGCGAAACAACTTCAAGCGAAGAATTTTTGCTTGTGGCTGAATTCCATTTGTGCAAATTGTTTTCTTTTTGCACAATTTAAGAGCAGGGAATAGGAGGACTCATCAGTTCCTACAAGTGTCAATGACTTTAATGCGGAATGGATGTATACCAGGGCGACTTATAGCAGGGATGCCCTGTATTTGCTTTTAACAGTAACTCCTGCATCGCACAAATGTTTTAAGGTAAAAGCACTACGAGGAACATCTGGATTAAGAATGTCCTCATAATTTTCTCAATTCCAAAAAGAAGAATGCAGTGTGAAAAATCACAGTTTGGGGAATTTTTTGTTATAACTTCACAAATAGCACCAAGTCTCTCCTATATTTGTTATCACAATGCTCTTATATAATCATATTGACCTGAAATCGCATGAAATATATGCCAGAGTTGACACTTAAACAAATTAAAAGTTACAATTTACACATACAAAATAATGTAAATGGGGCAAAGTAACACTATGTACAAGTCCAAATTGAAAAAGGTATGCAATTTGCTAAACAAATATATATTTCCTATTATATTGTGATGCTATTATTCTCCAGTAATTTCCAATTTTTCTATTCACTTTTAAAATTTTAACTTCTAAAATATTATTGCATATTCATGAATACACTTTAGTTGTACAGGTATTAATAAAATGTTTTCCATTTAAACAATGAGAAGAGGTTACGTCTTCATTCCAACATTGCGGTATGTGAACAGCTCAACATTTCATGTCACATATTTGTGCTCCTTCTGAAAATTTACATTAATAAGCTTTTTATATTCAAATATTCCAATAAAGTTAATTTAAAGATATACACAGGAAAAAACAATTAGTGTGTAATCAAATGAAGAAACTAAAATTGTCCTGGTTACAGATAGCAAAAGCAATAAATTCCTAAAGGAGAAAAATAGACTGCTAAATTTGTATGGGCTTCACTCTGTAACTGCTGCTAGCTGCTCCCATCTACCCACTACCTCTCCCCCACACAATTTTTTTCCTTCTCTCCTCCCCTCCTTCCTCGGCCCCCTTCTTCCTTTCCCCATTTATTCTTGGTTCTGGACATTCAACACGCTGTTCATCTGAAGAAGTGGACTGTGTCCACAAAAAGCTCATGATACCATCTACATGTTTTGTTATACTTAAAAGTTATACCAGACTGTTGTTTTTTAAGTTTTTCATTATATTTGTTATTTTTCAGATAAATCTGATCAGATTAGGGATGAGCTGTTTCTGTGGTGGCAGAGCAAGGAACCAAGGGCTTATCTTCTGTGCTAGAGTTTCATCTGGTGATGTTCACTGAGGTGTGGAGAAAACTCAGTTGACAACCTGGCTTTGGATCCATGTCCTTCTTGTTTGCTGAAGGCTAGTGATAAAGTTCTTGGTCCTCTACTTATGGGGACTGTCAATACTTGTGATAGAGGGCAGGCTGCCTGTTGTTTGAGAGAAGCATTAGTGTTTAGTCAGTTTTTGAGTTCACTAAAAAAGGCATTGTTTGATGGTGACTCTGTAATTCTTGGCAAGATTCAGATATTCCCTTTTTGGGTAAGATAGTGGTGAGAAAGATGTAAGTGAGAACTCTCACAGTACCTAAAATCCTTTGATCTCTTTGACTCCTGTCAATCTGTTTACAGACCTGGCGAGGGCACAGGATACGCACCGAATGGCAATGGAAGAAAATCAAGTGTCCTTGCTGGTATTATGACGTCTACAAGATGCCTTTGATACTATTGTTTATGAAGTGCTGTTATCTCACCAGAGAACCTTGGTGGTAGAGAACAAGGCTTCCATTCGATATCTTCATTCTTTTCTCATGGAGAGCTCTCGGTGAATAATAGCCATCATTTGTTCCTATTCCTGAAGAGCTCTTAGGTGTGTGGTACAACACAGTACCATTCTGTCAACCATCATGTTCAACATACATATGGAGCTGTTGAAGGAGGCAGAGGGAGCAGTATTTCAGTATGCTGATGTCACTGAACTGCAGCACTCTCTCTCATCCAACTCTGACTGTAGTTCTACGTCTCAGCCAATATCTAGTTGAGTTTGAGTCATATAAGAGTGCTCAACCCACACAAGATGAAGGCCAAAGTCACGGACTGGGTAAAGCAGTAAGAGGAGATAGGTACAACAGCAGTCCCTTTGATTGAGGTACAACAGCAGTCCCTTTGATTGAGGGAATCTATCCACAATTAGTTAAGAGGAGGTACATCTAAACTACAGAGCTTTTCCAGGATACCAGAGGAATCCCGGAAAAGCTCTGCCACATCCAAGGAACCCATCTGCTTTTCCAAAAATAATGTCAGAAAAGCAGACACATTTTGTCAGCATCCCTGTAAACCTTCATGAGGAAGAAGTGATGTTCCAAAAGAGCTTTTTTTCCGACATCTTTCCCTGTGTAGACGGACCAAATGTCGGAAAGGCCTCTTTCAGAAGAAAAGCAGAAAAAGATACGCAAATTGCGGATTATCTCCAGATTAAATCAAAATCTGAACATTCTCCTTTGATGGACTATCATGCTTTTAAAAAGGCACAACTTCTGGGAAATTCACATGCCAAGGGATGGAATTGTGGTGAAGGAGGGCTAATTTCCAGAAAAAGAACATACATTTGATTTCTAAAAACGACATAGCACAAAGATCAGCTTCGGTTACCTTCAAAAACCACCTTGATACTCAGTATGTTTTAAAGCATTTATTTGGTCACTCTCTTAAGGAAATAATTAGCAATAAGTATGCAGTACTATCAATCACATGGGTTTCTCTTCTCCTTTAGTAATGTTCAAACCAACAGTACTCGTTTTATCTTTCCATATATAATAAGTGTCTACAAATGTAACCATTGCAGCTGTCCTAATACTTATCACGTATTTATGTCTCTGTTGCTAAAGCCCAGCGAGAATCCCAGATAGCAAGTACAATTTATTGTGCTGCTTTTTCCAATACTTAGATACTATTTTCCAGGACTGAAAAAGTTCATTGAAGTCTGACTGCAACCCGTACCTGAAATACTTGTTAAATCAATTTGTATGCACAGAAAAGATAAATTTAAATCTATAATGAAAAAAGTCAAGCCATTCATGCATTAAGCTGTACTAAAATTTCAATTTATAATGTCTGCTGTGTACAGCACTGCAATACTAAAAGTATCCAAAAATTAGACAGCCCTGGGCAAATATCTGCATTCTTCATCAAAAATATTGCAGTCATTGTTAACAGAAACAATTTTTTTAGTATATGAACTGTGCCTTAACAAGTAAAACAAAAAATGTTAGATAGTCACATCAATGAGGATTATAGATCTAACCTCTAAAATCATCCTGTAACTACAAGGAATTTCTTTACTGCAATTATATAAAAACGGGAATGGTAAAAAGCATGATGTTGACATAAATCCATGTGGCTGTTTGAATCAACCTGTAAGAATCTTACACAACAAACCTGACATTTTAAAAAA